GGAGGTTTGTTACTGGGCTTCAGATGTGCTCTGTGGACAGGGCCCCAAGAAATGAGATGATGATGATGGCACTGGATGAGATGCCAGTGTCACCCCACAGGTATGTCTGGGTCATGCTGGGATGCAGGAGCTGAGTCCAGGCTGGAGAGAGGGAAGTACTGTGGGAGCTGTCATTGGGCACTGCACAGTGGGTAGTAGTAAAACCAGGGAGTGGGGAGGGCAAGAGGCTTCCCATGGGTCACTTCTGTCATGTTGGGTCTCCAGCAGGGACTTCAGAGACACCCAAAGGATATGACAAGCCAAACATTTTATCCAAGCGTTTATGCAAGCAAAATTTAGTTAAACAAGTGTATGGCAATTGTAATAAATTTTTCCTTTGAAGAAGGATGCAGCTCAAGCAGTCTTATTGCAGTCTCGTGGTGGGGGCTGAGCCCACTGCCCTGGAGCAGCAGCAGGGAGGAGTCAGTACTGCCAAAACATCAAGTCCTCCAGGTATTTCTGCACCCAGTTAGCTCTGGGGTCTGCACACAGCTGCGTCCCCTTCCTGGTGATCAAGCTTTTGGGAAAAACAGTGTTGAGATGTGGTGTTACATTTTCATTAAATGGTATGCTCTGTCTCACTGCTCGAAAATGTACGGTTTATTCCAAGCCTGTGATCCTCCCCTGAAGTATCACATCTCTGTAATCCCATTGGCCCAAGTCTTATTCTGCACCCACTTGGAATCTCCCTGCTAAGCTGTGCGAGGGAGACCAGACCCTCTCTTGGCCCATCTCTCCCCTAGGCTCTCCCTCTCTCCCCCTCCCTCCCCTTTGCCCCCTTCTCCCTCAGAAACCACGCTGCTCCCAGGGGTGGGACCCCAAATAAACCCTCATCTAATTGGCACCCTCAGAGCTGTGTGGAGTCTCCTCGCCTGCTGGCTGTTACCAGCAAAAACACTCAGTTTAAGTGTTCCTTAGTGTTGCCCTCCGGGGACTCCCCAGGGAGCCCCCACGCTCCAAGCGCAACACTGAGGCACTCAGCCAGGGCATCAGGGTGCTTTTGCTAGGTCCTCCTGGCAGCACCCTGGTTGTCCCTGTCCATGCCCTTCCCCGTCATGGATGATCTTGGACACCTTGGGGCCCCGCCCTGGCTGGTGCACCCTGGACCCCAGCAATGTTGGGTACTTACACCACAGCTGGCATTGGGCAGTTTTCCCTGGTCAGGTAGGCAGAGACGATCACTCGGCGTGCAACGGGGCGTGAAATGTAGGAGTAGCAGCAGGGGGTGTTTCTGGCTAATGTGGGGGAAGAGAGATGGGCCTGGTGAGACCCCACACTACAGCAGAGGCTCTGCCTGTGGCTCCCCGGGGGATTTGCCATCACCTGTGCTGTGTCCTCTGGGAACACCCCCTGAAAACCTCCATCTCTGAGGCTTAGTCCCTGCACTGGTGATGACCACCTGCTCCCAGCCTCCTCCATACACAAGAGGGTCTAATCAGTGGGGTGGGGCTCTCTCCTGGGGAAGGAGAACCTACCATTATTCTCGTAAGGTGAAGCAATCCAGGAGACTCTGAGATCAGCCTGAGCCAGGGAGCAGATGGCCACAAGGAGCAGAACAGCCATGGCAGCTGCAGGGACCCTCATGGTGCTGGGAAGGCTCTAAACCCCAAACACAAGCCCTGCTACTGCTGCAATGACCTGTTGGCTGAGAGCCAGGCTGGGATGTGAACTTTACTGACCAGAGTTCCGAGGGAAACCAGAACAAGGCTAAACACTGGAAAACAAGGAGGAAGTAGCAAGTTTCATAGCTTGCTTTCTGAGTGTGCACTGTTGGGGTCTTTAGGAATTGATTATATCCCATGTTTGTCAAGCAAGAAATTTGCAGTATTGATGTGTCTGAGGTGCCCCCCAGCTGGCAGGTGCAGCCCCTGAGGGGAATGGCACAGAGGCAGCTGGTGTCAGTGCCACACTCCCCCGGTGAGCCTGGTTATCCCTTACCCTTGCTAGTGGGCTGCCTGGCTAGTGAGAACCACTAGCCACAGGAAACACTGATAACATCATGGACCCTCTCAAAATACCTAATTTCTGCAGAAATGAGCCTTTTTGGGTAAATGTGGGTCCAGTGGGTTGTTTGCAGCTGGCTACCAGAGCATCCCTGTCCTGTGCGCTGCCAGACAGGGTGCATGAAGACCCCTAACCTCACCTTCTGTGTCAACTGTGTTAGCTCCTGCTGGATATCAGGGAAAAGTTGTAGAATCCCTCTTCATTGGTCCCTGTCTGGCTCAGCTTGCTGGCCAGACAGCAGTGGGGGAAAAGAGGGTGAGCAGCAGCAGGGAGGAGTCAGTACTGCTTCAAGTCCTACAGGTATTTCTGCACCCAGTCAGCTTTGGGGTCTGCACACAGCTGCGTCCCCTTCTTGGTGATCAGGCTTTTGGGAAAAACAGTGTTGAGGTGTGGTGTTACATTTTAGTTAAATGGTATGCTCTGTCTCACCCCTCGAAAATGTAAGGTTTATTCCAAGCCTGTGATCCTCCCCTGAAGTATCACATCTCGGTAATCCCACTGGCCCAAGTCTTATTCTGTGCCCACTTGGAATCTCCCTGCCAAGCTGTGCAAGGGAGACCAGACCCTCTCTTGGCCCTTCTCTCCCCTAGGCTCTCCCTCTCTCCCCCTCCCTCCCCTTTGCCCCCTTCTCCCTCAGAAACCACGCTGCTCCCAGGGGTGGGACCCCAAATAAACCCTCATCTAATTAGCACCCTCAGAGCTGTGTGGAGTCTCCTCGCCTGCTGGCTGTTACCAGCAAAAACACTCAGTTTAAGTGTTCCTTAGTGTTGCCCTCCGGGGACTCCCCAGGGAGCCCCCACGCTCCAAGCGCAACACTGAGGCACTCAGCCAGGGCATCAGGGTGCTTTTGCTAGGTCCTCCTGGCAGCACCCTGGTTGTCCCTGTCCATGCCCTTCCCCATCCTGGATGATCTTGGACACCTTGGGGCCCTGCCCTGGCTAGTGCACCCTGGACCCCAGCAATGTTGGGTACTTACACCACAGCTGGCCTTGGGCAGCTCATGCTGGTCATGTAGGCAGAGCTGATCAGTTGGCGTGGAACGGGGTGTGAAACGTAGGCATGGCTCAGCTTGCTGGCCAGACAGCAGAGGGGGAAAAGAGGGTATGTGCCAGGCACTCTTGGAGGTGTGGGGCTTGGGGCCATAGAGTGTCAGCTCTGGAGACTTGCCAATCCATTTTTGTGGACACTGAGCTTGTCCTGCTGGCACAGTGACTTGGTGACACAATGTCAGCTCACTGGCACAGCCCAAACGGTGCCTGGAGATAGCACCAGTGTCCCCCCCAGAACCGTGCTGGAGTGCCAGTGGGGTTAATACCAGGAACTGCATGAGGGAGAGATCAGAGCATCTTCCACAGTTCAGGGGTCTCTGCTTGCACAGTGGGGCACCAGCTAAAAGCTGCTCTGGCAGGTGCTCAGGGGGATGTTCTGCATTCACCTTTCTTCCTGGGGACCTGATACTTCATTTTTGTGGGGCAGGGGTGCGCAGGAGTATCCCACCTGCTGCTCTGGCAGCACCCACATGGACTTGAAGGTCTTGTCAATAGGGATGGAGCTGTCTTCTGGGGAGAGCATACTTGGCTTCTGGGAGGAGTCATCAATGCTGGGGTCACATAGAGAGGCCTCAGATGGGGAAATTGTAAGAAAATAAGAACATGATAATGGGGAAATATAAGTGTATCATAACAAGGACATTGTCAGGGGTACCCAGATTTGCTGAGCTGGTGAAGGCAAGGAAATCACAGAAGGGGAAGCACCAGTCACTGTGTTGTGACTTGCAGATTCCATTTGGTTCCTGGTATGGACTGGCCAGAACCTAAACCTGCCAAGAGCCAGGCTGGTACATGCCCCTCCACAACAAGAACCCCAAAGAAAATCAGGGGCAAGGCTGGCAAAAGGGAAAAAAAGGAGGAACTACCAATTTTATCTATCACTACTCTCTGATTAAGAGTCCCTCTCCAGCTCTCTTTCAGGGCCTCTCTAGGAACTGGAAGCTGCTCTAAGGTCCCCCAAAAGCCTTTTCTTCTCCAGGATGAACAAACTGAAGTCATTCAGCAGTGAGTTACAGACTGGTCTCGTGAAGAGCCACAAAGATACCTTAACACTGTGTGTAATCCTACTGGCTCTACTTGCACCTGCAGGGGTTTTTTTCTATTTTGGATTAGGTATTAATAATTTGTAATCCCGGTCCATTTTCTTGCAGTAACTAAATTTCGCAATTTTTTTAAAAAATTTTTTCAGTATCCGTGCCATGCCACTCATATCTTCCCATCAAAACCCTGTCTTCCTCCTTGATGCTTTCCCTGCTTTTGCAACATCTCGGAGGTTAGTTTTGGCATGTTTGGGTCCTTTGCACTGCACCTCATTTCCTCCCCGACCATTTTCTTGTAGTCACAAAATGTCCCAATTTCCTGGGTTTTGTGTTTTTTTCAGGCGCATTTCATTTGATCCTATCTCCTTTCCAGAACCTTTGTAAGTCTTTCTTTTCTGGGTCGCAAGATTTCGTTTCCCTTCCCGAAAGGAAATTTCATCATGCTTGGAGCATCATCTTGACAGGAAGGTACGAGAGCCATGCCATGGATATGGGAAAATAATACAATAATAAAATAATACAATTGTTAAATATAGAGACTACAAGAAAATGGTCCCGGATTACATGACGTACAGTGCAAAGCACCAAAACACGGCAAAACTAACCTCAGAGATGTTGCAAAAGCACGAGGAAATATGAGGAGGACGTCACACTTTTGTGGTGAGGATATTAATGGGTCAGCATGGATACTGAAAAAAGAAATTTAAAGGGAGTTTTAATGAATAGAAGAAAATGGACCAGGATTACATGAGGTACAGTGGAAAGCAGAAATGCACGCCAAATCTAAGCTGACCGATACTAGAAAAGGACGAGAAATAAATGAAGGGGGAAGACAGAACTTTGTGGGGTATTTATGAGAAACATGCTATAGATGCTGAATTAAAAAAATATTTCCATCGTGGACAGCATCATAAAGCATGGAACGCCATCAAGTCCAGTGACATGGACCAGACATTGCCAAAATTGATCCCCATTGAATTCTTGGAAACAGAAAAGAAGGACTTCCAAACACTCTCTAATGCAGATAGAAACAAAGGAAATGCATTTGACGAGAAATATAAAAAATTTGTGATATTTAGTGACCACAAGGAAATGGACCAGGATTAAATGAGATGCAGTGCAAAGGGCCAAAACATGCCAAAATTAAGCTGACAGATGCTGCAAAATTAAAAATCAAGGAGGAAAAAAAGTAAAAATCAAGGGAGAAAAAAAAAGTAAAAATCAAGGGGAAAAAAAATCAAGGAGGAAAACAGAAATTTGAGGGGAAGATATGAGAGGCATGGCATGGATACTGAGAGAAAAAAGTCTTCACCAGTATCAAAGCCATTAAAAGGCGTGGAATTCCAGGAACTGCAGGGACATGGACCAAAGATCGTGCGCTTGATTCCCATGGAAATCGCAAGATTTTGTTCCACTTCCTGAAAGGAAATTTTATTTTTATTTGATGGAATTTTGGTTCTGAATATATTCAAGTTTTGAAATGAAAGGTGGGTTATCAAGAATTGATAATCCCAGAAGCTATCTTTGGTTTATAATTCTGGTACTAGTGTTTTATAATACATGAACTATATTTTTGTGGGACTATTTGCATTTTTATGAGTATATATAGGTATCTTTTAACTGGAAATCCCCAAGTGGGAGCCTGCTTTGTTCTGTTTCCGGGTCACATCTCACAGTAACCATTTTGGAAATACAACTTTCATGGGGCCCCTGGCATTGTGCCAGGGTCAAACCATGACAGGGCTGCAGCGTATTACTATAAAATAAATAATGAATATTAATGACCAAATGTATTTGTAACAGGTCTCTCTCCTGCTTGAGTAATGCTGCTCCTCTGTGAGATGAAGCCCATCAATGGAACTCATGGTTGTGTCTCACTCAATACAAAATTTGCAAGAGCATGAAGTACCAAGAAGCATTCTAAAGAAATTCAAGTGCCATCTCCTTGAAAACCATATACTGAAGTGCTGTGTTTTTCTCTCATCATCCTATTTTACATAATTGATTGTAATTCCATTCCTCCTTAATCATCCTTTCTGGAATTCTACAGTGCAGTATAGAAACAACCCTGACAGATATGCTCCTTTACATCAGTTTTCTGCCAGAGCTTCTGTGTCCTTTTTTTCTGGAATTTAGTTAAGGGCTCCTTCGAAGTATGGTTGCAGTTTCACTTGATCCCCATTTCTACTCAAAAATGTAGGACAGCAATGCCAATGGCTTCTGCAGTGCTGATTTTCTCAGTGAGCTGTGACAGTAGGAGGTCTTCTGTGTCCTGCTGCCTTGAATAATTTCTGCCTCTTGCTTCTTTGCCTTGCTTACTTTCTTCCTCTTCCTATCTTGCTTAGGTCATGCTATTCCTTGTTTACTTACCTTCATGAGCTCTCTTTGTTTTTTCCCTTTAGCATTGACATCACAGCTTTCTAAGTTTACATTCGTAATAGGTACATTATTTTTCTTCAGTTCCTTTTCTACTGTGTATATAGCTTTCAAACTTTTCCAAAGACCTGTACCTTTCAAAACTCCTGGCTTTGTTTTCCTAGATGTCCAAGGAAGAGTTGTATGTTGCAGTTTGCATTATTCACTTGTAGCTCAGTATCTTTTTTTTGTATCTGTTGAGACATACGGAAGCACCTCTATTTTCTGGCATGTTTGTTATCAGAACTTGTGAAGAGAAGCAGCAATATTTTTCAGGTTACTGTTATATGGGGAATTTAATGTTTGGTGAGCAGCCTTCAGCAGTGGCTTGGCATTTTAGAGTACTGCAAGCTCTCAAATGAGCACTTGAGAATGAAAACTGCTCCTTTTAACAGTCTCATTACATTTCATACTCAATGTTCCTGAATTTTCGGCTACTTAGGCAGAATTATAGAAGAAGGGTCATGGGAGCTGTAGAAGATGAAGCACATAAGCAGATGGGTTCTTCCAGTCCAGCTGAAATAATTACACTTCCTATATAAGGTTCAATGGGAGAATTTCAGAGCTACAAAATCTCTACATCTCTTGCTATGTCTGAGATCTTAGTGCTTCCTAGTGGGCATTACAGAGAATTTCTCAAGGAGGGAGAGATTGCAGTTGAGTTAGAAGGACTTCAATAGCCAAACACTGATTTTGTTAACCTTATTGGCTAGGAGGCATTCAGATGTACAAAGCACTGAGTAGCAGTGGCTGAACATCTGGTCAAGAGGAATGAACCCAAAAGGACAATAATTGCAGAGGGAGATGAGATCATACCATTTTCAGGAATGGGAGCAATTCTCACAGATTTCTAAGTTCCTGTGTACAACAGCCTGAAAAAAAGACTTAGGAGCTAAAAGAAGTGACTTTTTCCTTGCCTGAAGTACACAGCATCCAGGTAAAGGTGTGCTGCAAAGGAGAGGAGGTAGGATTTCACAACGCAGCAAGGAGTACTGAGCTTGCAAATAGAAGAGAAATGTGAGTGTGTGCTATGGGAGGGATGATGAACTGATTTTCTTTGCCATAGCCTGGGTCAAAAAGCAAGAGGAGAGGCAGAAAAGCCTGCATTAGCTGGTGGCATCCCCTTATCCTCACTTTTTCAGTTGGATTCTGTTGCTTCTGCAAGATGGGCTACCATAAGAAAAGAAATCAGGGTAATTGTCAAGAAAATTGTTTTCTAGGGCTATGTGGTTAAATTAAAAGAATGATTCTGGAGAGTGTTACATGTGGCATAACTAATATTGACGAATCCAGCAGCCCAAAATAAAAATAAATGGGAATCTAAATATCTTACTAACTTTTGTTTTTCCTAAATAGCATCCAAAATACACACTGATCAGAAAAGACGGAAAATTAAAATGAACAATCAAAAATGTACTGCGCTTGAGAGTGAGCAGCAACATTCAAATGTGGCTGTGCATTGCCATAGGTTTAGGAAGAAGATACACAAAAGGAAATGGATGAAGTCTCCAGGGTTCCCAGAAGAAATCTGATATCTCTCTTCCTGTGTCCTACAGGACATGTTGCGGAAAGGTGTGGCCAGTGCATGTCGTTGCTGCAAGACTGTCATGGAGCTTGAAAAGTGCTGTTTTTTTTTTTTAAACCTCCATCCAGAAGACACAGTTGCTCTGCCCAATTAAACCAAAATGCTAGCAAGCCTGTGACTTAACATTGATTACACGGAATTTGTGAACAAGTGAGTTGTGTTCACTTGCTCATCTTATCATCTTGTGGATAAAACCTTTTCAAATATTCTCCTTCCTTCCACACTACAGTTCTGTATGCTTGGTCTGTACAAACTGTTCTTGGAAAGGAAGCATAGATAAAAAACCTTTTCAAATACTTCCAAGAAATTGAGAATTATTTCTTATCCTGTCTCTATGTACTCAGCTGGGTATGAAGTCCTCATTTTTCATCACATTCTACAGACTGTTCTGGAACCTAATGCTAAGTAGATGCTGTTTCTATTGAGATGATTATTAAAACTTTTCACAAATTCAACAGCAAGTAAAATTTGTTGTCAGTACTTACCTGAAACACAAAGGCTTTTTTATTTTAACCAGAACAAAATTGTGTTTTGGAGTGGGCATTGTTAGCTACTTTCCAGTGCATTAAAAAAGTATGGCTATGTCCAAGCAAGTCTGTTGTGGCTCAGGATTTGTCGCTTGTTTTGGGCTGCTTGTTTTCCAGAAATGACTTAAAATATTTTTGCATATTTTGAGCACAGATGTATTCCCAAACTTTCTCTGGCTATATGGATTTCTTGTGACTGATTTCTTTAACTTGAATGGATTAACACAAAAATCCAGCATAGAAGATACTGGAACATATGTATAAATTGAAATCAGACTTGATTAAAGACATATATATTGTGAAAATGAAAGGTAAATCATTCTTGCACTGCATAGCTGGCAATCAGAAAAGGAAGATATTGCCATCTTATTGCAAAAGCTCCATACCTTTTTGGTGATTTCTCATGGGCAGCTCCTCACAGTACTGACACCTTCTTCTTCCTCACAGCACAGCAAACAAACCCTAACTAACTTCTCAACCAGACAACCTACTCTTTTATAAAACCCATCCTATTTGGACCTAGCTGTGGCCTATTAAGGGCAGGCCTGTTCCTAATTCTTAGTACTTAGTGCAGCTGTAACGCCTTAGGGGTGAAATTACCTTCATCACTATCTCTATTCTCCTACATTCCATCCATCTGCAGGAAGATGGAGCTGCTTATCCTTTTTTCTTCAGTCTTTGACAGCTGGGCAAAAAAGATCAATCATATTAACTGACTGTTGGTAGGTAAAATAGATTGGAAGTCCATTCCATGAAATATGTAAAGTGAAATTAATCTCCGCAGAAACTGTATCTTGGTTTTCAACAACACTTTGACATAATGGCGAAGAATTTAGACTGCTTTAAGCTACATTGTCCTGCTGTTTATGTAAATCCTTTAGTGCAACAGTGTTTTCTCAGGTGTGTAGCTGATCAATATTTAAGAGGTTTTTATTATCTCCAAGTATTTAATTCAAGAAAAAGCTGTAATTTTGTTGGTAAAGTGATACTTTTGTTGGCTGAGTTATGAGGATTTCAGAGAGAACTTTATGTATTGAAGGGTGGGATGATGTCATCTGCTTTGTGCATTAGTTCTGTAGCCTAGGAACTTGGGTATTGCCATGGGGAGCTGTGTGTCAGTCCTGTTGTAGTCTCTGTTATTGCTGTGTGTGTCTGCAAACTCTTACACTGTGTTTGCTAAGTCACTCAGGACCTGATCCAAAAGCATTTTAAATCAGAGAAAATTGGTTTTCTTACACGGGTTTGGGGAAGGTCTGGAAGGTCCATGCTTGCAGTCTGAAAGTGGGCACATTCTACTTTTGGATTATTAAACAGGCAGTAAATCTTAGGTAGAAGAGGACTGATTAATGGCAGTGCACAGAAAAAAAATGCTGTCACTGTTGAACGTCACCACTGAAGATGAATGCAGGTAATACTTTCTGATGTGAAGAGCATCATCAGGAGAAATGTAAGGAGCCAGAGGGACTGGGATGATGGCTACTGCTTATTTTTCTGTTCAGCTTCTATGCCTTGAAATGCCCAAACCAGCTTTGCATCTAGGTTTTGGAGAGGCTTGCAGGTGAGTCTCCCAGCTGTCAGTTCCTTTCAGAAAGGTGGGTAGCAGGCTGTGCATGAGAAAGAAAGAAACAAATAAAAAAATACAGAGAAGCTGTCATAAGATTTGGTTCTTTGGGATAGTCTTTGGCCACAGGAGGGCAATACTGTTCTACAATAAATTTGGCAAGCTTTATTCTCTGAAAGTCTAGTTTGTCAGCAGGTACCTGAGGGGGAATGGGATTGATCACACTTACCAATCATCAAAGTTGTACTGATCAGGAAGTGGATTTATGCCTTTAGCTATGTTTGCAGGGGTTGAGCACTTGGTTCTCCCAATCTTCATTTCCAGAAGAGCAAATTGCAGCACAGAATCTGAGAGCTGTGAGGACATCTAAGGAACTACTGCTTCTGCATCCCTGATTCAGATTGGTACTGCTTTGTGCTGTCCCTCCTTCCACCATCTCAGCTGGAGGCCAGAGCCAGGAGGTGGCACAAGCAATACAGCAGTGACTATGCCAGCCCCCATGGCTGGTGGAGGACTCGTTGTCCCTTGTCTCTCAGCTATTTCAAACTGAAGTAAGGAGAATTTTAAGTGATAATGGTGAGAATTCCAGGGAGTATGACTCTCACTAATACTGACAGGAATTTTCAGCTGGGAAAGGTGGATTTTGTTTTTATTTTTTCCTTCAGAAAGTTTTTATGCTTTCCCCAGAGGCTGAGGCCATGTCCTTCTTTACTAGAATCCAGGCAAAGGAGCAGGAGTCCTAACTTATTAGGCCATTGATTTATGCCCTTACTCTTTGTTGATTCATTCCCTTGCTCTTAGCTGGTCAGATAAATCTCATTAGTTAGTAGATTCTCCAGAGAAGCAAGTGTTGTGGGTTTTAATTCCCCAAAGGAGATGACTGAGTGTGCATTTTGTGGCTCTTAGAAGAATAGGAGATATCACTGTTTGGTCTTATGAGAGAAAATGAAAGCTCCACTGTGTTCTTCATGAAGATTAATCTGCCAGGAGTGCTTTGAGACCAGTGGATTTAAGTTTTAAAGGAAGGGGAATACTTGGTTTGCAAAGAATAAGAGTTTAGTTAGAGAATGGGGTTTGGCCAAGTCAGACATTTGAGTACATTTGAATACTTGATACATCACCTAACATACTTCAAGTACTTAAACATGAATATGAAAGTAATTTATGCAGTTTGGGTATCTCTTTATTTTGGAGACAGCTGTATTCCCCAGACTAATAGAGAAGAACAGGGAGCTTCCTAAGGGCCAGCTTCATCATCAGTGTTACTAGTATGACAGGAATAGTCTTCAAGAACAATTAAAGTAATATTAAAAGTTTAAAAGGCATATTTATGAAGGATAGATTGCTAGCTTCCAAGCTAACCTTTTAGGTCATCTGGAAATGAAAATGTTTCAGAGAATGAATGCTACTGAGCTGCTGTTTTATCTTCTGTTTCTGAATAAAGACTCAAAGAGGTCCCCTTCTGAAAGACAATTCTTCCAAGTGTTTTTCAGTTTGTAGTTTGCACATTGCTTCTGATGGATCTGTGAATGTTGAAACTTTTGTCTGTAGCTTTTCTTTAGGTGCTGAACTTCCACTGAATGTGTCTAAAGGAAGAAAGAGCATATATGTCAGGTTTGTCTTAAATATAAATTTATTTATTTTATGCTTTACATTTTAAAGAGTGGTTTAAATATCATAATCAAGAGCAAAATGTTTTGTTTTGCAGGAATAATTTTTAAGGCTTTTATTTTAAAATTTGTCTGAGGTGAACTGAAACAAATCTGATATTTTCAAGGTGATTGACTTGGCAAGGAGGCCAGGAACCCAAGGAAAATGGCTAGTCCTTTGCAGGGCTTTTGGCCCAAACTGTCAGTTAGCATCTTCCAAACTACTGAGTAATCTTGGGAGCTGGTATCCTCGAGTGCTCTAAATGAAAGAGGAATTCCTTCAGGTGAGTGACAGCCAATGTCTTTTTGGCAAAGGGTGGGCAATGATGATACAAACGACAATGTGATGAAGTTTTTCCAGCTAAGTTTTTTTTTCCAGAGGAATGTATATTTTGCAATTAGACACTGAGGTAAGACTCCTTTTGTTTCCTTTTACCTATCACTTAATTTGCAAGCACAATGAAGATAAAACAAGTGGAGCCAGTTACCCAAGTCTGTTGTGCACTTGTGTATGTAATCCCTTTCTCACTTCAGTCCATAGTCACTTTTTCTGCTCAAAGCACTACATGAAAAATCCCATTATTGACCTTACTGTCTTAAGTATTGAAGAAGAGTTGGAGTAGTGCTTTTTTCAGTCTTTGTGTTTTTGAACACTTGTAACATGTGAAAATGGTCAGGTCAAAGATAATTCTGATGTTGCTTCCACCTGAAATTCCTTTCCTTCTCTCTACCACACATGTATTTTATTCCTAGGTAGATTTGCACGTATTTTCTGTCACTTCAGGAGAGGTCATGAACAGTCAAATGTCAGCTGAATGTCAGAGAAATGGCTCGTATAATGAAATCTATTAAGGTGTCCAATAGCCCTGTGCAAAAGAGAAGATAATCTTGCTTTGTGACCTTTAGGACAAATCAAACAAAACAATAAAACACACAGAAAGCAATGCCCTTCATGAGGTTGAAGCAGATGGCCAAGTATGGGTAGAAGTTTTTGGCTTTATTGTTGTTTATGTTTTTCTTTTGCTTTTTAAATAATTTACAGTGATTATTACTTCAAGTGCTTATTTTTGTCATACTTCTGAATGTTAGTAGGCAAACCCAACTTTTTCATTCTTTTGATCCTTTGTTTTTTATTTATGATCAACCTATTTTTGTGACTAGTCGTGGAGATATTTGCTGTTTCTTTATTCACTGATTTAGAGTCTAGAAGAAACCATTAGGATTGTCTCATCTGACTTCCTGTACAAACCAGACCAGGGTACTGAACTCCATAATTCCAGCATAGATTCTTATTGAGATAAGAAACACAGCTTTTAAAATGACATTATATTTTGTTTCAAGACTTCCAGTGACAAAAACTCACTATATTAACTAGTAAGTCTTTGAAATCCCTAATTACCTTTGCTTATGAATTGCATCTTCTGTCTATCCTGGATGTAATTAGTGTCAGTTGGCTGCTATGGCATCTGGATACATCTGTTTTTTTGCTCATGAGAGAATACTTGAGAAGAATGACATAGAATAACTTGTGTTGTTCCTCCTGGACCTTGATGCCTTTGGCAGTCCAGCTCAACTATCCAGAAATATTTTTGGTTTAAACTTGGAAAACTATCCTTTAAAACCAGGGTTTTAAAGGTCTTTGTTTTGAAGGTAGGTGGGGGACAGGAGAATTAGTATTTATCAAGGCTAATTTTATCCAAAAGTCCAAATGCTCCTCTATCAGCAACAAAATATAATGTTAGAATATTTCAAGTTAGGCTTCTGATTATCCAGGGCCCAGGATGATGCTCTATAAATATTCCATAGTGTCCACAATATACTCTTCTAAGTGGTTTAATTTTGTTCCTTTTTTCTCTAGCAGTCTTTTGGCTACACGTAGGGGACTGTTTGAAAGAAGTGTACTTCCAAAAAAGAATGGATTGACTTTCACTGAAGAACTCATCAATTAAGAAAAAAATACTTATACCTGAAATAAAGGTAGTTTTCTTACCTCTGCCAGATGAATTCCTAGCTGCAGAGTGGTGCCTCTTTATGCTTTTAGATGAGGGAACAGTTCTATTGAAATAGGTCAAGGACATTTAAAGTGTCTAATAATCAGTTACATGAACTTAAATCACCTCTGACCTCAGCTGCAGAGTTACTTCACCATTTGATTAGGCTATTGTGCTTTGTGAATAGTTTTATTTTTTTCCAGGGTTTTGTTGTTAGTTTTGGTTTTGTGTTATGCTTTCATTCAATTTGGTGATGAACAAGCACACTGTGTGGGGTTGTTTCTGAGCTCTAAAAATATGGTAGTGCTTTGTTACTTTTCCTTACACAAGGCCGCAGTGACATTAAAGCTGAAGAGAAGTACTATTCCTAAACATTGGGGTACATGAATCACAGATATTTAAAAATTTAGTGAGCCAGCTGTTCAACACAACCCATCAACTGGAGAGACCAGAGAGGTTCAGCAGCATGGCCAGCACGTGCTGGAGTGGCATGATTTTTTTTTCTGTGAGCTTTCCCAGAACTGCTGATATATTCCAGTAAAAGCCTCTCATGACTCCTATTCAGTTTTATGAAATCTCATGTAGCTAAGCTCCTGAGCAGTGCTGCTTTGGCTATCTAATGGCTTGCTACTGATTCAATTCTTTTGGATTGTGCACAGAGCAATACTGGCTGACAACTGCTGTCACCACAGGTAAACAAAAAGAATCCCTGTAATCCAAATTAGAGGAAAATTATGCTGATAGTAAAATCTTCTTGGCTGTTTTACAGATTTTCAGGGACGTCATGAGAATCATAAAATAATAGATATTTCAGAATTGGAATTAAGGAGAAATAAATATAATTGATCACTTAAAAGATGCATGTTCTGTTCGCAGCTCTGGCAGTGATCTATTATTACCTTTAGAAAGGATTTTTCATCATTTTTCTCTTGCTTACTGCTGTCGGTTAAAAGGCTGAGCCTTTTGGGATTGGAGCCCCCTCAATGTTCTGCTGTTTGATCACACCCACTCTTTTTCTTTTGTGTCTTCTATGCTCTTCCAGTAAACAATGCTAACAGGAAGCTCCAAGGCTGTAGAGACACACAGGTCTGTACTTTTTTGCAATTGATTTTTTTTCAGGTGTTATTATCATCACAAGACAGAGCCAGTGGATCCAAAGCTGTGTTGAAGGCTGATCCTTGGTGACTCACTGCAATAAGGGATGCTTATTTCTGTTTGTTAGTTAGCTATTCCAGGGGGAAAAAACCAAAGCTACTTAAGTTTTTAAACCTATTATGTGGTATTCCAAAAGGTCAAGTTGCTGTTCTTTTAAAATACAATTTAATTGAAAATGGACAGTAGCCTGGATCTTCTTGAGGCCTAATGAAGTAGATTATTGATATGCACCATGTGTTCCTGATTAAAATCAGAAGGCTAGGAATGTTCAGCCAATTATGCAATTTGTGAGACATTGCCCAATTAGTTTAGGACCTTGCAGAAGCACGTACACAGAGACATACTTTGTGTGTCCCTGTAAGAAAAAATTCCCAAACTACAAAGGGCTGAATTATGTACAGCTAATAAAGGCAATTAGTTGTTTGAACCGTCTTGTTGCACTTTATTTATCTCCTAGAAAGGTTTTTATATAGTAGAAATTTACAGTATAGCATAATAATTTACAGTTGAATGTAACACAGATATTAATGCAAAGAACAGGAACAAAGGATACAGTTTAACATCTGGAAAAATCCTCTGATTTTTTATAGTGAATGTAGCAGTTTCAATGCAAAGAACAGGAACAAAGGATACAGTTTAAAAATCTGGAAAAATCCTCTTATTTTTTATAGTGAATGTAACAGTTTGTCTGCTTCATTTTACAAATCTACTTAAGAGCAGGTGTTGGTGTTGTTGTCAAATTCTCTAGTTAAAATAATAGCAGCTTAAATAAGTACAAGTGTGGTTTTCTACATACTAATTAATTTTATGATTAATGAACTTTTGGATCATCTTAAGCAGGAAAATATTCACTGTGGTAGATGTTTAAACCACAGACAAATATAACTCCATGTATTTCAAGTTTTAGCTTTGTCCTTATGGTTTATCAGTTTGTACAGACCCCTATAAAGTACAAAGACACAACTGGTGATGTAATATTTTGCAAGAATGTGCCTGAGCATGCATCTATCCAAAATACTGAAAAATTTGTCAGTGTGTTTCAAACATCAGAATTATTTTTTAAAGAATTTTTTTTTATGATAGAAAAAGGGAATGTTTAATTATCTCTAGCCTTGGAGTCACACATGGGATGTTCAGCAGATTTGTGCAATTTGTTAGAGCAGCAGTTGTTTTTAACTGAAGGAAATATTGACACTGGCAAGTAAAGACAGGATAGCAAGCAATTCAGTCTCCCCCAAGGAAAAGAAACACCACATTGCAGAGGGTTTAACTGAAAATTAAAGCTTTGTGAAGTTTGCTTAGCTGGTTATAAAATATGCTTCAGAGCTCCAGAGTGTCTGAAAACCAGGTTGATTTAATCATCGACTCAGGGGCTTTATTCCCATGAGGAAGAGAATTAAAGTTCAGCTGCTTTGTTGTGGGCTAATCGTTAATCCCAGGGTGGCTGGTAGCGAGGGGCCTGAGCGATGGGACTCGGGGTGATGAAAGGTGCTTGACAGCCTGTTCCTTGCATTTGTGCTGAACAAGGAGGCAACAGGAACAAAAAAACCCAGCCACGAATCCTTCAGGGAGTTCATCAGGTCAGAATCAAGGAGTTAGGTTGTTTTTCTTGGCCACCAAAAGGTTTTGGTGGAAACTGGTTCTTGTAAGGAGTGCAGTGGCACAGTGGGATATGACAAACACCTATGGGATATTTGTATTGCTACTAGGGACAGCAGACAGGGACTTTGCCTATGTCCCAGTCCTGTCTCTAAAGAAATATTAAGCTCCTCTGAAGAATTTTTAAGTGGAATGTGTGTTAAAGACACCTTCATAGAGGAGTGGGTAAGCAAGAAAATGCCATGTAAGTTAAGTGGATTCTTTGACATTCAGATCAGTGAGTTTACAGAGGTTGCATCTTTGTGTGGCTGGGTTTAGCTTTTCTAAAAAGCTACCTGATAACCCCAGTCTCTGGTTTGGGTAGTCACTTCTGCTACTTTGAAGGCTGTTTAGAAGCTTAGAAGGTACTCAGGTGTTAACTTGATTCATTATTTTTGGTATTTTCTGGGCTGTAAAAGGTGATACTGACCCTTCCTGTCCATCCTTTTCACTTAGAAAATCAAGATACACATTGAACTGTTCCTTTAACTAATTTCTCTCCAGATATCAGAATATCATTTACAAAATCCTTTTTCTTTGCTTTGCACCATTTAAGAATAAAAATAATTTAAGATAATAAAAAAATTTAATAATTATCAAAAATAATTAAAAAATAATAAAAAATAAATTCCACAGCATCATATAATTTACAATAGCTATGAGGTCCTTATACAAAAACTGGAAGTCAGCAGTGCAAATATCAGTTTAGTTAAAAGAAAGTTTAAGCATTCTCCTACCTCCCTGCCGTATTTTGTTTCCAGTGCCATGTGGGAAGAAAAGAAGAGCCCTAGGCAGGTCTCTAACTTTCAGTGCTTAGGAGAAAGCAGCATGCAAAGCACATTAACACACAGAATATGCATAGGCACAGCAGTGAACCTGTTGATATACGACAAACATTTCTCAGTCTGCTGTTACTGTTTCCCTGGAAGGCACTAAAACATTGAAATGCCCTCTTCCAAGTAAGGATCAAATCATAACTTCCTAAATGTTTCACACAGCCAAATGCTTCACAAGTGTATCCATTTCATCAGGAATAAGCACCAGAACTCACCTCTTGGTGATAATTTTGCATGACTGATATGGTGATTTTGTAGGTCTTGTGTTGTAACATATT